TTCTTGGTGATCTTGATGAAGCCCCGACGGTTGACTTCTCCGTACCACTGGAGTTTGCGCCATTGACCACGTAGTTCGAGCAATGCCGCCAACAGATCCTCAACTTCCTCGGAATCCAAGCGCTGGCGGCCATCCAGTGACGGACCATATCGCTCTTCCAAAATTTTCATGCGGCGCGCAAAGTCGGCGTATTTCTTGTTATAGAAGTAGTCGACATCCTCGAGGTTTCGATCGAGCGCGTAGAAAAATCCTAGAGTTCGAGTCAGAAAAAAGCGCTCGACGGCCTAGGTGGTACAAAGCTTACCTGTAAGATCGGCCTCATGGCCAGCCTTTACGTTCTCCGCCGCAGCTTTGATGAGCCGTTTCAAGTCCTTGTAATGAATATAGTTCGCGCTCCATTCCGGAACAACATTGCGGGGCAAGTTGCGTCCAAATTTCATTTTCGAGAGAATTCAAGTCGGAGTTGATTGCAGTCGTTTGAGATGAGGATAGAAGGTGGGATATAAGCTCTTCTAGAACTCGTCTAGGAGTTCTGTTCGACCAAGGAACTGAGTACAGCTGACGAAATGATGATCAAATGGAGAATAAGTGGATCTGGGGCAGACAAAAGGAAAATGACAAGTCAGACTTCGAGCACAACGCCATGTGTTAGTCTATCGCGGAGTCATGGTCAGAAAGATAGATGGGGTAGTGGGAAGAACCTGGATAGTAGGATCGTGAGAGAGAAAGAGATGGATGCTTTTGAAGATTGAAGAAAAGCAGGAGAGAGCCACGGGTCATATACAGTTCGGAATCCTTGGGACCAAGCGACAAAGGAAAGGGACCGAGCTATCAGCACGTGCGAGAGTCGGCCAAGACATATGATCGAAGGGAACCGACAAAAATATCAGTTGCTAACCCGAGTGGGGATGAAAGGAATCCACCCCGACGTAAGAAGAGGAGGAATTCCGGGGCGGAATGACCATTGAACGCGGGCGGCTGGATCTGCTGCACGCCGGACGCTCCCTGATTTGCCCGCAATCTCCTCCGCAGAAAACTGGTTCGGCCCAGTGTCTGAGAGTCTGTGAGTGAGGAATTCGATTCTTAGCAGATTGGTTTCGCCATTGGATCTGTGTGAAGAACAGGTCAAATGGCGGTAACCTTGTGTTGAATCCGGGCAATTCACTGAACTGAATTGTGACTTGGGAGCGAGTGTTCGAATGTTCGATCAAAAGGGGGCCATTCTCCGGTTCTTGATCTAAGTCTCACACCAGCTGCTAGTCTGCCAATAGCGCTGACTTGCTCCCCCACCAATTCACAAATTAAGCCTTCTAGACTGTTGGACTGTCATCGAACAGTCTATAGTGCTTTTGATAGGCGATAAGTCCGGTGACTCGCTACTTTCTAGGTCGCGGAGGCTGGCGGATTCGAGAAGCAGAAGTTCTTTCTGGCGGGATATTCCCTCGCAGCGATGATCACCGTTCCCCTCACTGTCACCTCACTTCTGATTTGTGGCCAGATGCGTTGGGGGGGTAGGGAGGAGGGGTGAGTCGTGGCTGGACATTGTCCACTCGAAGTTCGAAAGGTTCGATTAACCATTTTAGCGTTGCCTGTGATTGCATGGTTCCAATAAAGAAGGGTTGCAAACTTTCTGAGGTTATTCTGAGTAACTTCACACATACTAAGTAAGAAGGATTGTTGCATTTCGGGAGTTATTGTCGCTGTCCGGAGAAGACGGAAAACTCCCGTCAAGTCAGATGACCTCCCTCCAAGCTGCAGAGTCACTGTACTCGACTCTAACGTGACCTGCTCCTGTACACACTAGTGATTCATTATGCTGCAAAGTAGACATTCCTCACCTCAATCTTAACTGCACTTCTTGGTATTGGCTCAGCTTTATTATTTATTCCTTGGAAGTTCAACAATGGCCTTGCTACGGAAATGCATTGCACAGTATTAGAAAGGAGCTGTTACATCCTGGTCGCCTGACCTCAAGGTCAGCAATGTATACTCTATTCGATCACGCGGCTTTCTTCTACAGCCCGGACTTCATCGAGAAAGAACATGGAGGCTTTATATGATTGTCTCGATTCCTCTTTGCCCTTGTATAAGATTAGAATGGAGACATCAAATTGCCGCTCTCCTCGAGGTAATGAGAAAGAAGAGACTGGGCGTTCTGGCTACTCTATAACGCCTCATTGCACCATGAACCTCATCGTCTAGCTGTGTGCTAGAGACAATATCGGATTTTGAGAAAGTCTTTGAAATAGTTCTAATACAACAAGGCTGCAGTGGATTACATTTCCTACCTCACTGTTGAGTTTGAGTGCTTGTGGTCTAGTGGATTATGTTCAGTTTGCGATAGCGAGTCTGCAGTCAGCCTGACGTATAGATTGATATTCTATGCTCACTGTCTCAGTCTTTGCAATATGATACAAAGATGTTCTGGTTGACTGCAACGAACATTACTGCTGGGCACCTTGAACTGGTCTTTGGTACAGTGGGAGGGATGAACAGTGCACTCCCCAGTTTTGCTACGAAAACGTCACAGCGATGTACCGCCTGCCCGATAGCTCTGCGAGAGAAATGCCTATGGCCAAGCACCTTCATTAGCGTATCTGCTGGCAGAATTCGGCTAAAAGAGCGAACTTCCAAACGATAGAGGGCGCATTGTCTTGACTGGGCATTGTATGGCTATGGATATTCAATACTGATTACTCCATCAGTGTTTGAGTACCACCTAGCGTGCGCTTTCGTTTTACTTCTTACCTAGACGATGTTTGCTACCCCCTTCTCACACTTCAAGGCTGATAGTCGCCCTACATATCTTTCATCCAATGGTGCCGTGGTGGCAACCAAGAAATGGCTTTGTTACGAGGTATCTCCACTGTGTCGAGGGAACAAGTCCACGAATCAACCAAGTAGCCCCCACCATCAGCCTTCTTCCGTTCGACGAAGCCTTGATAACGACATCTCGCCCTTTGCAGGTAGCTTGGGTTATGCGATTCAGGTGCATGATCACTGTCGTTACGGCAGAAAGTCCCTCCAATCAGTGACTCTGGCCCCTCAGCCAAGTCTCGTTCGAGAATAATTGCTTCGAAAGAGAGGGGTAGACAGGGCAACGGTTGGGCCTCTATGAGTTGAATGAGTCCATTGCGGTGATTAACCGACGGCTATGGGGTGAAGCCTGTGAAGAGCATGGCTATGCAATCGGGAAAGGTGCGGGCTGCCACCATCTATGCATGCCCACCAGACACAGATGTAACCTTCCGGTGACTAGCTTGAACGCAGGTCGAGGTCATATGCACGTCTAAAGGCTCGTATTCATCAAGGACCTCACCAGACGATATGATCAGTTTTTCTGCGCAAGAAGTAGACGACTTCCTCCTAAGGAATGGCGCAACTGTAGCGTGGATATAGTCACCTTGGACAAGATACCTCAGCCGGTAATCACCGCGGAGTTGAATATATCATAGGTGGAGACAGTCCAGGCCCCAGGAGATATCACACGATGTCATCCGGCCAGATACTTGCAGCAATTGTAGCCCGGGTCGCGAGGCTGGAGTCTCTGGCGACCGGATTTTGGACCCATTCATGATAGCTGGACCAAACTCTGAATATAGTGGACCCGAGAATGTGGTTCAAGGCAGCGAGGAGACACAATGTGTCTGGTGTTGCATAGCACTAGCCTTGTCGTCCACAAGTTGTGTGCTTCATCCCTTTGTCCGAGACGAAGTAGAAGCATGAAGCCTCGCGATGTGCGGATGACGAAGCATTGCAGAATACTACCTAATTTCTGATACGAGTTGAGCCATGCGAATATGCAAATGTATCTTCTGTTACGGTCAATTGAACCCTCGGTCATGTTCCGTGGTATAGATCAGCTCCGGAGGAGGTTGATGACATTATCATATCGTCTGCGAAGCGCCCCTTTGCCGTCTTATATGCATACACGAGGAAATGGGCTCCAGAGAGCGTGCATAGCGGTACTGATTCCGCACTATGTTTGTATAGCTTTAATCGAAGTGGATTCGTGGTTATGATCGTGGTACACATCGCAGCATTTCGCAGCGGTTCTGGCCGCGTTGATGAGGCTCCATGGCGCTTCAGAGTCGCTTGGTGGCCGTGGCAAATCAAGCAAAAGATTTAGCCTGATTGTTCTTGATTTTAATAAGGTATTGTTTGTGGTGACATCTTGGAGTTTTCCCTCAGAAGAGGAGTAGCGCTGAGAAGCCTTGCACGAGTCAGTATTTGTGAGCATCGCCCTTGCTGATGTAACTCATTTGCCGTGCTTACATTTGCCAAGTTAGTTTCTATGCAGGGAAGGAATCAGCTTAAGCGATAGTAAGTCGTTGATTCTTCAGCAATGTCAGTATGGCGGAATCCAGTAGACCTGTTTCTTCATGCCTTCTGGATTGGGGGGCTCAAGGTTCTATCTATGTGTCAAAGGTTATCAGCCTTCTGGGATGATTCTAGGTTTGGTTTCAATGGCTCTGTAGGGCCCCACTAGCATGCGGAGAAGAGAGCCTCCTTCCAAGTTGACCGCCTTCGTAGCTCCATCAAGCATCGTCTACTCAATCCATTAACTAGGCTGCGAGCATCGCGTACTGCTTCCCAGTATCTTCTACTTAGTACACCAACATCAGCCACTTCGACGTCTGGCAGTAGCGTCTGGAAATATCTTCAAATGAGGAAGACAGTAAATACTGTCGAATGACATTTTGTACACATTGATAACATGGGAATAGGCTGGCTGCATGCTTGCTGCAACCGTCTCCAATTAGCCTTGTCCGCAATGACGGCCCATTGGGAAGTGACGCCGTTCTGAATACGAGATTCATGGCGAAGTCCTGCTGATGAGCCCACTTTGATGGGAGTCAGCACTACCACATTCATCCGGGGCCTGCGCAGGTCAGGATGATGTGAACCCATCGCGCAACTGGTGTGGTCTATAGCTATCACCTACTAGGCAGGCTCTCTTTCTTTTGCTATATAAAGAGGCCTGTTTCTTCTCATGAAAGATGTCAGTCTACAGAGCTCAACAAGAATCGGATTCATCTCTTTTTCAACTTCGCATTCCACACCTTGATGTTATATTTCTTCTTTTCTGTCTACACCACACACAGCAAGATGAAGCAATTCATGAGCTTGAGCTTGGCTGCTTGTCTGGTCGCTGGTGTTCTTGCCATCCCAATACCTGATGTTGGTTCAGTCTCCACAATTGATGGCAATACCAGTGACTGGAAGCGGGATAACACTGATGGCAACACCAGCGATTGGAAGCGCAGGGACAACACTGTCGACGGCAACACCAGCGACTGGAAGCGTTCCGATGAATCTGTTGATGGCAACACCAGCGATTGGAAGCGTTCCGATGAATCTGTTGATGGCAACACTAGCGATTGGAAGCGTTCCGATGAATCTGTTGATGGCAACACCAGCGACTGGAAGCGCAACGAGAACACTGTCCTCTGAAAACTCTTTGACTAGGACCAGCGGACGGCAACGAGAAGTAGGTATTTAATCAGACAGTCTCTATGACCTTTACTTACACCTCCCCCATTTAGGTAAATCCTCGACAACAAATCCATTACTCTCGCCCAAAGACAAGTCCACGCATTGAAAACACCATACGCAATCACATAGTTCAAGACAAACACCACAAACGAAGTAGGCCAATATGATAACGTCCTCTCCATCAGCGAGAAGCCAAAACGTCAGAGACCGAGTTCTAGTCTAGTCAGTAAAGTTAAAATGCACAAGATAAAATTCCCCAATTGACTTCAACATAGATAAACCAGAGGGAGATCCACCTAGACGTCCATATAACAAACATAGCTAAATCACCACAATTGTCCCTCATAGTCGCGCATACATCTACACCTACACCCTTAACCTCGCCACAAACCCTCCCTCCTCCTTACCAACAAATCCCCCAAGCAAACAACCCCTAAAACTCAACCACCCAGAAAACAAAAAGTAGACCTTAATCCCACCGAACCAAGAAAATAACTCAAAAGACACGCAGAAATGCAGAATTACACAAACTGCGTCATAAGTATCCCCAAACCAGCCCAGCCGGGCTGCCGGCCGGCAGGGTGACCGGTTAAGTAAAGTGTGTTTATGTTTGCATGCGCGATTTTTCGACCACCACCACGAGCAAAAGAATTCCCCTCAAAACCTCGCCCTCTCGCCCCCTTTCTTAATTCTGCTTCCCCTTCGTTTTTTTACTCTTCCTCTGTTTTCGTTGTCGCAATAAAGGCTATATCTTCCCTCAATTAACAACAGAAGATGCACTCCACTGTTGACTGACGGGTAATCTCGCAGACAAGAAAGATCCTGGATAAATCATCCCTACCCTACAGATATATCACTCAGCAGGTGCAATAGGCCAAGTGGGAGAAAGAGCTCAACTTGAAGTCAAGCACGACCTCACTCAAACTCACAAAGAGCAGCCAACACACCCTCAGCAATGGACTGCCTTAATCTTCATTGGAAAAGGCTTGACTACTAGGAGTACCAGCTTCCAACAATTGGCTATACACATTCCGCTTCGCGGGTGGTTTCCCCATTCTCATCTCCCTCCTTCTCTCCACTTTTCCCCCCACTCAAATCTCGTCCACCCCCGCATTTTCTTGGGTTACTCCGCATCAACTATTCAACTCCCTTGCCAATCACCGGAAGGCCATGATTACACTTAATCTACTTCTGGATTGGGTGAAAATATATCTCATCGAGAGAGTCATTCAATAAATAGCTATCAAGGTGGTCATCGTCTTGATTCGACACAAAAGAGCACATCATTCTGGTCTATGGCGGACTCGAAAAGGGACAAATGCACTCGGAATTCCTGACGCATTGAGAAAACCAGCCACCGTTCCCCACGCTCATAAGACCAGCAACATTCGTTAAGCTTAAGCAACACATCATAACACCAAATGTCAGACAGGCTGATGAACGCCGTTAAAAACCACAAACAACCGGACCGAACACCGAAACCTTGACGTGAGCTTTGATACCGCAAACTCACAACGCTTTATCGAGCAAAATAGGTATGAAACACCGAGAATAAATAGGGGAAATGTGAAAGCTCGTTAAGAAGACATGAAGCCTACGACACCAGAGGCTTAAGAGCTTCGACACCAACTTGGAGGACAGCGGGATTTTTCGTCTTCTTTAGCAGATTTGTCAAGATGTCGATGCCCCCGTTCTGCTTGATGGCATCCTTGGCCCGACGAGCAACATCACCGGTGGCAAGACAGGTCATATTCCTGACACAGGCAACGCCGCGATGTACAAGCCCGTCGTCTTCTTCCTGGCATAGACCAAGCAGCAACTGAACACCACGAGGCCGTTCTAGAACTCCTGCGATCGCTGCATCGAACTCAGTCAGCACGGCGAGAGCTCCGCCCGCAGCACTTTGCGTGGCGAGGTCATCAGTGTCGGTGAGGGCCAATAGGATGTGCAGACGCTGGGCAGCACGTTTCGAGCCATCGGCAAACTTCACTACACCTGATTCGCAGGTCATCAAGTTACAGACAAGCTCACAAGCAGCGCGCTGTACCAGGGGACTATGGGCAAGAAGGAGTTCCTCGATGACAGGCCAGGCTTGGCGAACAATGGCTTCAGGAGCGGACTCATCAGGGTGCGAGGCCAAATTCGTCAGAGCCAACAAGCTCTCAAAGACAGGAAGCAAGTCCCGCGGTTGCTCGGTGGAAAGATTGGTTGTCTCTGGAACGGAAAGCAGTGCAGTCAAAGGCCGAATGGCAGACGTGATCTGAGGGAAACCAGAACTTGGGAAAACAAGCGCAGGGTTGACAGAGATCAAGATTCGCGCCAGCGCATGCGAAGCATTGCTGACTATTTCAGTTGGCGATGAGCCCTGCTTCACGGTTGACATACCAATCAATAACTTGACGGCTCCCTGTTGTGCTAGAGTACCGCGAGACTTGCGATCACGCGAGAGAGAGAGGAGAATCTTGCTCATGAGAAGTTGTACAGAAGGCAGGCTGGTCTTGACACAGTCGACCAGAAGGGGGACAATTCCTGCTTCGACGAGTGCGGTGCAACGAGCAATGACGTGTTGCTCTTCGTCTAAGGGGTCGGGGCCGTTTCGGGCCTTGGGCGATGCTTCAGCGTATGACTTGAGCTGTGAAACTTTCTTTTGTTCCTCCGTCAGGTTGGGGAGAAACTGGGTGAGATTCATGATGATCATCAAGCCACCATAGAGGACTGACGGAACAGTAGAATTTTCGTGTAACACTCTAAGGAGGTTCTGCACAAAGACTGGATCCTTGGCAAGCTGCTCCTTCACGGCGGGCTTGACAGAGGCATAGGCCAGACCTTCAATTACATTAGCCATGCTCTCACCCTTACGCTTCGACATCGAGTCTTTGAACCGGTCAACCAGCTCGATAACCCGGGTGTCATCGTCCTGGAGTTTATCAGTGGTTTCGGAGGGCGCGACCTGCGCGGCAGTCCGAACCTTGGCCAGGATAACCGCTGCCAACTCGGAGCTTTGGTCACTTCCATTGGTGAGAAGATGAGAGAGCCAGGTAGACAGATGTTTGAAGATCGCCTCACGGCAATCTTTGTTGACGCAGGCTGCATTGAGAAGTTCCAAGAAAGATGTTTCAACTTTGCGGCTCTTCACATCCCTGGAAGTCAGAGGAGCCAATGCAGCCAGAAAATTCTCCGAGAGAAAAAGAGCTGCGGCAGCCTCCGGAATCACAGGGAAGACGGCAGCAGTTGCAGAGAAGGCCTCAATCAGCCCATCACTGCGGGCCTTGATCACCTTGGAAGAGACCAGGTTGGAGAATCGATTTTGGCCAACTTCTTTCGAGACCTCGAGGTACTTGACTGTTGCCAAAGTAGCCTGGCTTCTCCACTCAAGAGGTAGGCGAAGATCCAGGGACGACAAAATTACATCCAGACTCTCATCATCCACCAAATCCTGCAACCGAGCCGCATCAACGGCCAGCAGCCGCGCAATGCCTTTGAGCGAGCGACCGTCCTCATCGTGACCAGACTCCATGAGCTTGGCGATGAATAGCTGAAAGAGCTCACGCTCACAATGCAGACGAGCATCCTGCGATGGCCAAACGGAGGGATCTAGGACAACGGTATCGAGGCAAACCGCAGCTGCGTCGCCCCTTTCGTAAATCTCGTCGAAGAAGGTGGTGACCGAGATCTGAAGTTGGTTGGAGAAGTGCTGGCGCACGCTTGCGCTCTGGCGAACCAAACCGGAGATAATGTCGTCCTGCAGCGAGGACAAGGCATGTGGGCGTTGCGCCAAGATAGATTTGACACATTCCAGTGCGACCTCCTCGGGCGGTTTGAGGCCGTCGGTGCGCAAGTAGAGGGCGGCATCTTTACCCGCCGGTTCGTCCTTCCCTGAAGTATACCGGCGGCAGAGATCTAGGAGGTGATGGCCATTTCCCTCCTCCTCTTGGATCTTCAGAAAAGCTTCCTTGACAGCTGGATGCTCGGGCGCTAAGGTGAGGGCTTCTCGAAGGTTCCGCGAAGCGGCCTGCGATAGATGACATTAGCCACCTGAAGCGGTCGCAAACTGACGCGACAGCACGGAAGACTCTCGGATAGACGAAGTACTAAGGAGAAACGTGTAAGTCAGACATACCTCACGGTGACCAGCATCTATCAATTCAACAGCCTCTCGAGTCAAATGTACGGCACGGTCTTCGCTCGTTGAGTGAACCATGTCAGGCCTGGAAGGTAGATAAGGCGGGAGCGGAAGGATTAATTCGCAAGTGAAGAGAACTCGGTCGGTAGAAGGATGAAAGAATAAAACGGGACAAAGCCACGGTCGGGTGGAAGGAAAAGAATGAGGAGGAGGGAGGAGAATAAGAAGAAGAGAAGAGGAGAAGGAGGAGAGAGCGCGAGTCAAGCCAGGGGAAGTACAGGAGTTGTGGTGAAAAGTGGAGGAGGAGTGGAGATTATTTTGCAGTAGTAGCAAGAAAGTAGTGAGGATTAACCAAAGAGCAGCTGTGTCAACCCGCAGTAGTGGTGATGATGATGGTAGAGCGACGCGACAGCCGGACAATCATCGGCGGAGGAGAAAAACCTCGGGAGATAAGGAAACTAACTGGGCTCTATTGATGTGATGTCAATGGGAACAAGGGAACCAGAGAATATGAAGAAGATGGTGTGGTGGTAAGTTGGTGGTGGTGGTCGTTGTCGTCGTAAAAAGAAAACCGAGCTGGGCTTATCTTTTTACTTTTTTTTTGTTTGACTTTTTTTTTTGCCTCCAAGGCATGGAGGGAAAGGATGGAAAGGGTGGATTCCATTGAATGGAGACTGGAGAGGATAAGAAAAGGTGGTCCGTGTGACTGGCTTTCCTTTTCTGGCACTCACTCACTCTTACCATCTTCTTCATCCAAGCTCGGTGCTCAGTGCTCTCAGCCTCTCTTTCTTTCTCCGTCTCTCTTTTCCTGCCTGCCTCGGACCTCCGACGCTCGTTTCCTGCAACCATGAGACACACATCTTCATTTCCACCGCCCCTCCCACCCCACTCCCCAACTGCATTTCCATTCCAGTCCTCTTTCTTCGATTATCATTTTCCAGGCTTCTATGCATTGTTCATAGCTGCATTATGATTATCATGAACTGCCCTTACTTGACCTTAGCATAGCCAGGTATCTTTCCAGTACTTCCGGCCAATCCGTCTATCCGTCCGACGGTCGGAGCTCCCCCTCGTTTCGGCAGCCGCTCTTCGGAAGGCGGCTTAACTCCGACCACACTTGGCTATCGATACGCTATCGTTATCA